ATAATAATTTAATACTAATAAAAATATATAAATAAATATGTTAAATGTTATAAAAAGAAAATTTAATTTATTTATGATATAAACATATTTTTAATATTTAATATAAATTTTTAAATGATAATTTATTTTAAAACTTATTTTATAATAAAAATTCTAAATAGAATATAAATCTTACATATTTCTTGTTCCTTATTTAATTAGAAGCAAGTGACTTTGAGAATTAATAATGGTTTGAATAAAATTTAATTTAGGCTAAAACCTAACATGTTAAGTTAATGTTTTAGTAAGTGCAATATAATAAATCTCGTCGCATATTTATATGCTATAATAAAAAAGCTCACTGTCAAAATAAATCCTAGTTATATGGATCCACAAGGAAAATAACACAAAATTTACGCATCCTTCCCCAATTACCATGAAGCTCTCCATGTATATAGATTGAAACCAAAAATTCCATGGCATCATATCTTGCCAACTTAATATTTTGATTTGCCTTGATGCATCAAAATTTCCAATTTCAGCATAAAAATTTGAAGCTTGCAACCACACTGCAGGATCATTAAGTTACCTTTGCATTAGCATCCTTGTGAACAAAACAAAAAAGCATGAGTGTTGTACGTCTAGCCTCACTTTGGTTAATCCCATCAATAATCTTTGCTGAAAATGGTGCTAAACAAGAAACATATAATAGATGTGAATCTTTTGTTGAATAAATGAGAGATACTACATTTATGCATTTCAAACCAGGTATTTACCAAATGGATCAGCTCTGGATGTTTCCAAATCTTCAATATCCACGTCAAAAGTGCCTCCAAGGCCATCAACAAATGTGCAAGATCTGAGCATTAAAATTAAACTCTTACATTAGATGAAAAAAATTGATATTTCACATGGCAAAGTTGTACAAGAACAACCGTTCAGGACTGGTGCAAGAGTCAACCTAGAAGCTAGAACCAGATATGAGCTTTGCATTCATCTAGTGAAATGACTGTTCAAGATATATATCTTTTTGGGGTTCAAGATTTAAGATATAGATTTAAACATACAAGTTCTTACCTCGTTTTAAATCTATATATGGTGTATTTTTCATTGTCTCCCAATAGATCCTGAAGATTATCACTTCGTGATGTACTGCTAGCACTAGAACATAGTACTCCAGAAACAGTATAAGTGAACTCTTTGATTGTTTTTTGCTCAGATAGTATGACTTCCTGAAGTTTATCTGCGAGAGACTTAGCCTACACCAAGATCAATAACTTATGTAAAATCAAGAGCAACTCTACACCAATGCATAGAACTCTGTTGTCACTTCCTTTTTGTTTTTATAAGAAAAAATCTATAACAGATGTTCGAAGCAATCTCAATTTGTTTTATGCATATGTAAACAGAGAGAGATACCTGAACCCTTGCATACTTTACAGTTAATTAACCCCATATCTTGCTTCATCTTGCCATTGTCGCAAAACACACATTTTGTTCCACCTGCTTGTCAGCAATGTTTACCAAAATAGTACTTCTGTCAATAATACTAACACAAGTTGCCCCTTTACTTCATATCATATACAATGTAAAACAGTTCAATTTAGGAAAGGAATACTTCTCATTTATAACCATCACCATTAGGTACCATTAGGAATACGATACAGTAACTTGTTAGCATCCAATAATAGAATAAAACAAACAAAACCAAACTAATGAAAACAAAAAGGAAGTCACATTTGGCAAGTTCTTCCATTAGAACCCAATTCCCTTCTCCAAACTAACAAAGATGCAACTAAGCATGCTACTCTACAAATGCAGGTTATTTTTTCCACATTATTACATATTATTAACATGGAAACATCCAAACAACTTCAAGACCAATAGAGGAAATAATACAGTCTGTATACCATATAACAAACATGCACCAACAGTATAAAATATTCTACACCATCACCCAATCATAAATCATCCCAAGTATAACTTCTAAAGTAATTATTACAAAAAGTCAACAAACTTGTAATTAGATGACATTGTAAATTCAATACATATATTATTCATTCTACAGAATCTACACATTATTTACATGCTGGCATCAAAATAAAATTTGAAGTTCCACTTAGAAATTAGAATAGACCAATATTAAGATTTCAATTATTTACTTGTTCTCAGCTTCTTTTGAACACCTTTGAAAATTATTTCTTAAAGTAAGGACCATTAAGACTGATCAATGTTATAATAATGCATGTAGAATCTATTTGCAGTTTTCACAAAATAGTGAAATGAATCAACCCAGGAGTAGAGTATCCCAAAAAATACAAGATGGCAAGAAAGTAAAATCAGATTTATACAATATAATAGCAACAAAAGTTTATGAATAAAGAGAATTACTTAAGCTAATTAAGTGACCAGAAGCATCCAGAATTGGCTCCACCTTCAAACCTTTTCCGACTTCATATTCATCACTACATAACACAACAATGTGCAAAATGCTTTAAAAGGATAAAATCACAACAGCCATTACTTATGACATGACACACACTCACATCCAAAGAAAAATTTTAACCATCAGTATCATCCATTAAACTAGCATAATTTCCAATTGGTCAAAAACTTGAGTTTCCTCGGACCAAAAAAAAATCAGCTGGCATACCAGAGTAGCCTCTGAACTCTAACTCTAAACAATCACTAAAATACATGTCAATACATTTTATAATTAAAGAGCAAAAGCAAAGGAATTGAATATCGATTAGGCTTGTACTTTAGGAGAAATCCTATGTAACTTCTAAGAACACAAATATAATACTGGAAAGTTAACTAACCACTCCACTTCTGTCAAACCAAGTACCACAACATCTTCTATGACCTCGTTTACACAATCTTCTATTTCTATGTTGTGAAAGAGGAGCAAAATTTCATATACTAAATATTGTATATGCAGCACTAAAGTCGTCCTAATTATTCATGCAGGATGATTCGAAAAATTACATTAGAAAGGTTAGTCATTATCAAGCTGAAAAAATATGCGTAATAATAAAAACCAATTATTTGCAACAGCATCTCTGCCACATACTGGTATAACAATGCTTATACCCCCAACATCACTCAAAATTGATAGTAACACAATAAAAAATTATTAAGAGCTCACATAAAGTGTGTCCTCATATCGATACATAGCGTTTCAGCACTTGCTTCGCCGTAACAGCAACTCCAACCACGACGCCGCCCGCCACCACCATCGATCGCACCCCTCTCGCAGCGCGGTACAGTGCCCCGGTGCCAAGTCCAGCGGCGACGCTGTTCCAGACATCGTCGGTGTCCCGCGCAGCCACGATCCCGCTCTCGGTGTCGGCATGGAGATATATAGCAGCAACTAAGATGCTAATTGGATTCATGCCAGTGCGGAAGCATTTGTTGCTTAACCTAAAGAAAGCTTTGAAAATATTATAGGATCTGTGAAAAATTTAAAACATGCACAAAAAATGAAATTAATGAAAACAGAGCGAATGCACAAATGAATATTGAAGGTGGAATGACAAGAAGTTACGGGTGTGAGTTTTACGAATGTGCTTCAAACATTTTTCATCATGTCTCGGATTTCTCCATTGAATCTCAAATTGATTTTCATTTTACTTGAAGAGAGTTTAATCAATTTGATTTTAGAGTTCATAATTTTTTACTTCAAACATTGTGGATTTCGTGAAAAAGGAATGCTTGCCGTTCATAAAAAATGCGTTTCAATTTCATTTTACAGTTCATAATCTTTTAAGAAAGTAAATTAATATTTCTGCCACAAAGTTAATACTTTTTGGCTGTTTATGAAGACCGCCAGTAATTACCCAATTTTTTTTTTGTAGTGACCAAATTAAGTGAAAATCAATTCTTGTTTACTTGAATTTATACATTTATTCAAGTGTTCTTAACATTTTTGCATACACATCTTTCTTGCATTTTGTTTATCTTTTACAATTAGTACATGTTAGATGCAAAGTCTATGAGAAAGAAGAATAAAGGAGTCTTTTGAAACTATTAGATGCCAAACAAAAAATTGAATATTTAGTCTTCTTTTGTTTGGTGCTAAAAAATCATTGTTATACTTATCAACAAAATTATATGTTTTAATATAAATTTAAGATTTAGATTATTTAGATGGAACTTTCGATTACTTTTAAATTAATTTTTGAGTCAATTTCATCCAACTTTAAAATAAATGAACTCTTATTTATATTTCTCCTACTAAATATTAATTTCATAAATGATTAGTTCACTTGATTCACCTTTTGTATGTTAGAAACCTAATAATACTTAATTTTCTCTATCATGATTTGAAGAGGTAGAATCCAAATTCATTAATTTAATATATATATATATATA